AATGCGTTAATTCTTATCAAAAATCGAAGTACATTTTATTTACTTCGAATATATTCTAAAAATAAAAGAATAAACTAATACGAACTAGTGAAATGCGTTAATTCTTATCAGAAATCGAAGTACATTTATATTTACTTCGAATATATTCTAAAAATAAAAGAATAAACTAATATACGAACTAGTGAAATGAGTTAATTCTTATCAGAAATCGAAGTACATTTATATTTACTTCGAATATATTCTAAAAATAAAAGAATAAACTAATATACGACTTAGTGAAATGCGTTAATTCTTATCAAAAATCGAAGTACATTTATATTTACTTCGAATATATTCTAAAAATAAAAGAATAAACTAATATACGAACTAGTGAAATGCGTTAATTCTTATCAAAAATCGAAGTACATTTATATTTACTTCGAATATATTCTAAAAATAAAAGAATAAACTAATATACGAACTAGTGAAATGAGTTAATTCTTATCAGAAATCGAAGTACATTTATATTTACTTCGAATATATTCTAAAAATAAAGAATAAGCTAATATACGAACTAGTGAAATGCGTTAATTCTTATCAGAAATCGAAGTACATTTATATTTACTTCGAATATATTCTAAAAATAAAAGAATAAACTAATATACGAACTAGTGAAATGCGTTAATTCTTATCAGAAATCGAAGTACATTTATATTTACTTCGAATATATTCTAAAAATAAAAGAATAAACTAATATACGAACTAGTGAAATGCGTTAATTCTTATCAGAAATCGAAGTACATTTATATTTACTTCGAATATATTCTAAAAATAAAAGAATAAACTAATATACGAACTAGTGAAATGAGTTAATTCTTATCAGAAATCGAAGTACATTTATATTTACTTCGAATATATTCTAAAAATAAAAGAATAAACTAATATACGACTTAGTGAAATGCGTTAATTCTTATCAAAAATCGAAGTACATTTATATTTACTTCGAATATATTCTAAAAATAAAAGAATAAACTAATATACGAACTAGTGAAATGCGTTAATTCTTATCAAAAATCGAAGTACATTTATATTTACTTCGAATATATTCTAAAAATAAAAGAATAAACTAATATACGAACTAGTGAAATGAGTTAATTCTTATCAGAAATCGAAGTACATTTATATTTACTTCGAATATATTCTAAAAATAAAGAATAAGCTAATATACGAACTAGTGAAATGCGTTAATTCTTATCAGAAATCGAAGTACATTTATATTTACTTCGAATATATTCTAAAAATAAAAGAATAAACTAATATACGAACTAGTGAAATGCGTTAATTCTTATCAGAAATCGAAGTACATTTATATTTACTTCGAATATATTCTAAAAATAAAAGAATAAACTAATATACGAACTAGTGAAATGCGTTAATTCTTATCAAAAATCGAAGTACATTTTATTTACTCGAATATATTCTAAAAATAAAAGAATAAACTAATATACGAACTAGTGAAATGCGTTAATTCTTATCAGAAATCGAAGTACATTTATATTTACTTCGAATATATTCTAAAAATAAAAGAATAAACTAATATACGAACTAGTGAAATGCGTTAATTCTTATCAAAAATCGAAGTACATTTTATTTACTTCGAATATATTCTAAAAATAAAAGAATAAACTAATATACGAACTAGTGAAATGCGTTAATTCTTATCAGAAATCGAAGTACATTTATATTTACTTCGAATATATTCTAAAAATAAAAGAATAAACTAATATACGAACTAGTGAAATGAGTTAATTCTTATCAGAAATCGAAGTACATTTATATTTACTTCGAATATATTCTAAAAATAAAAGAATAAACTAATATACGACTTAGTGAAATGCGTTAATTCTTATCAAAAATCGAAGTACATTTATATTTACTTCGAATATATTCTAAAAATAAAAGAATAAACTAATATACGAACTAGTGAAATGCGTTAATTCTTATCAAAAATCGAAGTACATTTATATTTACTTCGAATATATTCTAAAAATAAAAGAATAAACTAATATACGAACTAGTGAAATGAGTTAATTCTTATCAGAAATCGAAGTACATTTATATTTACTTCGAATATATTCTAAAAATAAAGAATAAGCTAATATACGAACTAGTGAAATGCGTTAATTCTTATCAGAAATCGAAGTACATTTATATTTACTTCGAATATATTCTAAAAATAAAAGAATAAACTAATATACGAACTAGTGAAATGCGTTAATTCTTATCAGAAATCGAAGTACATTTATATTTACTTCGAATATATTCTAAAAATAAAAGAATAAACTAATATACGAACTAGTGAAATGCGTTAATTCTTATCAGAAATCGAAGTACATTTATATTTACTTCGAATATATTCTAAAAATAAAAGAATAAACTAATATACGAACTAGTGAAATGAGTTAATTCTTATCAGAAATCGAAGTACATTTATATTTACTTCGAATATATTCTAAAAATAAAAGAATAAACTAATATACGACTTAGTGAAATGCGTTAATTCTTATCAAAAATCGAAGTACATTTATATTTACTTCGAATATATTCTAAAAATAAAAGAATAAACTAATATACGAACTAGTGAAATGCGTTAATTCTTATCAAAAATCGAAGTACATTTATATTTACTTCGAATATATTCTAAAAATAAAAGAATAAACTAATATACGAACTAGTGAAATGAGTTAATTCTTATCAGAAATCGAAGTACATTTATATTTACTTCGAATATATTCTAAAAATAAAGAATAAGCTAATATACGAACTAGTGAAATGCGTTAATTCTTATCAGAAATCGAAGTACATTTATATTTACTTCGAATATATTCTAAAAATAAAAGAATAAACTAATATACGAACTAGTGAAATGCGTTAATTCTTATCAGAAATCGAAGTACATTTATATTTACTTCGAATATATTCTAAAAATAAAAGAATAAACTAATATACGAACTAGTGAAATGCGTTAATTCTTATCAAAAATCGAAGTACATTTTATTTACTCGAATATATTCTAAAAATAAAAGAATAAACTAATATACGAACTAGTGAAATGCGTTAATTCTTATCAGAAATCGAAGTACATTTATATTTACTTTGAATATATTCTAAAAGTAAAAGAATAAACTAATATACGAACTAGTGAAATGCGTTAATTCTTATCAAAAATCGAAGTACATTTATATTTACTTCGAATATATTCTAAAAATAAAAGAATAAACTAATATACGAACTAGTGAAATGCGTTAATTCTTATCAAAAATCGAAGTACATTTATATTTACTTCGAATATATTCTAAAAATAAAAGAATAAACTAATATACGAACTAGTGAAATGAGTTAATTCTTATCAGAAATCGAAGTACATTTATATTTACTTCGAATATATTCTAAAAATAAAGAATAAGCTAATATACGAACTAGTGAAATGCGTTAATTCTTATCAGAAATCGAAGTACATTTATATTTACTTCGAATATATTCTAAAAATAAAAGAATAAACTAATATACGAACTAGTGAAATGCGTTAATTCTTATCAGAAATCGAAGTACATTTATATTTACTTCGAATATATTCTAAAAATAAAAGAATAAACTAATATACGAACTAGTGAAATGCGTTAATTCTTATCAAAAATCGAAGTACATTTTATTTTTATTTACTTCGAATATATTCTAAAAATAAAAGAATAAACTAATATACGAACTAGTGAAATGCGTTAATTCTTATCAGAAATCGAAGTACATTTATATTTACTTTGAATATATTCTAAAAGTAAAAGAATAAACTAATATACGAACTAGTGAAATGAGTTAATTCTTATCAGAAATCGAAGTACATTTATATTTACTTCGAATATATTCTAAAAATAAAAGAATAAACTAATATACGAACTAGTGTAATGCGTTAATTCTTATCAGAAATCGAAGTACATTTATATTTACTTCGAATATATTCTAAAAATAAAAGAATAAACTAATATACGACCTAGTGAAATGCGTTAATTCTTATCAAAAATCGAAGTACATTTATATTTACTTCGAATATATTCTAAAAATAAAAGAATAAACTAATATACGAACTAGTGTAATGCGTTAATTCTTATCAGAAATCGAAGTACATTTATATTTACTTCGAATATATTCTAAAAATAAAAGAATAAACTAATATACGAACTAGTGAAATGCGTTAATTCTTATCAAAAATCGAAGTACATTTATATTTACTTCGAATATATTCTAAAAATAAAAAAAAAACTAATATACGAACTAGTGAAATGCGTTAAGTCTAGTAAAATAGAACTCTTCCCACTATTAATTATGCGCCGAAGCGGTGGGCCCTTTCCCAGTTATTACAGGATACAAGGGGAGAGGATGTGATCGGAACAATCCTAGAAGACCTTTGGGGTTGATCAAGTCCCTTAGACTCTTCCTAAACACCGAACACACCAAAGTGGATTAAAGCGCTTTATTCACAAACTAGGAAATGTGGACAATAATATAATCGCTAGCTAGCACATAATAAATAATAATTTAATACAACTGAACCGTGTATAACTGTGATTAAATCGTTTAAATAAACATTAAAGGGGAGGGACAAAAGCTAGTAAATTGGTTGAAATAATGTGAACGGAAATATGATCGAACAAAGTCCTTCGTCTAAAGTCTTTCCAAGCTCAATATTTCCTGGGAAAGGACATGAGAGTCCTACACCTCCCTTGCCCATCTAGACCGTCCCTGGTCGTCAAAAAGTTTATAACCTTATTTGTTTTTCATACTGCTGTACTGACCAAAACCGAAGTTACTAATCTTTATTGAGAATGTCTCACTTTTATGGCTATTTATAGAGCCATTTTTTCTTGCCCTATGAGCATGTATATGTAATCACTCCCCTTTGTTTTCTAGGACCGTCTCTGGTCCGAATGAGTATTGTCAAAAGCTAAGAATTTAGATTGTGCAAATGCACTCCGCGAATGCTTATTTCCATATTTTATTTTTGTGTTCTAGAGACATTCTCCTTTGATTTTCCTTCGGTTTTGTCAGCTTTGGTAGTAAAGTATGTGTATTTAATTTTTGTTTTCCCTAAGGGCTTTTGGAATACTGAGCTTGATTTTGCAAAATTAATTGAAATGTGTGAGTTTGGATAATGGAGCAAAAGTAATTAGATATTGTGGTGAAGTAAATACATTAATTGATTCTTTTTGAAGATTAGGGAAATTAGAGTTGATTAATAAATTGAATAAATTTGAGGTAATACATATGTATAAATAATTTGTAAATGAGCGAACATGAGTTTTTTTATAAGTTACAGATAATACCTAAGTAAATAATAATTATATCACAAATGAATGTTTATATGACAATAATATGTGAAAATTTTAGTATATTATTATAGAGTCATAAATCATAACGAAAAAGATAATGTGTCTATATATTTGGTTTTTTAATGTGTTTTGGAAAAATTTTGGTAATTAATATAAAAAGATTTAACCTAAGTTTTAATATCTAAGCTAAAAATAATAAAAAATGAAATAGTGGAGGTTGGTGAAGGTCAGGTAAGACATTATCAGTGCTGAAAATTTGTGTATTAGTTTTATGAACGATGAGGATTTGAATTAATCCTGTTCATTCATAATCCATATACAGATTTAAAGCATTAACTCAGTCTTTTGGGATTTTAGGAAAGATTATACAATTCATTATCTCCATCATTGCCCATTGCATCGCCGAAGCGCTTCACATCATGCATTGCACCATTTTGTGTTCCACATCAGAGGGAGCAGATATATGAAATAATGAGTATTAGAATTTATTTTAATTATAAAAGTCAAACCCTCTTTTTACCAAACACCCACACAATGCATGTTCATCTTCAGATTGTTCAGTTCTGCACCGCCACCTGCAATAAATTTGTTAGTAGTCATTTATAAATTTAAAAAAATTTCCCTTCTATAATTTAAAAAACTTTCCTTTTAAAAAGAACTTTCCTTCATTTTGCATACCTTTTCTCAAAAACTTCCCTCATTTTATTCTATATCATCGTTGTAGTCGCCGAAGCTTGTTTTTTTTTGATCATTTCTTTTGTTTGAGCCAAAGCATGAGTGCTGCAATGTCAAGTCGTTGTAGTTATGCCTTGTTGATTTTGTTCATGTATTGATGTCGCCGAAGCAATATTTTTTTTGATGCCACCGAAGTATTATTTGATGTCGCCGAAGCATTGCTTGTTGATGGAATTAATTCATTAAATTTCTTAAATTTTGTTTGCATTGATGGATTGGATGTTCGATGAGTTGTAGCTCCTAATTTCTCCAACGATAACTCCCAACTCTAAATCTTGCAAGTAGGCAACAAGCAACAAGGTGGAGCGACAAATATTTCTTCTTCATTTTTGCTTCAGTTGGAACATGAGGCGATGTGGTATTGACAAATGGTACCAATTATCGAGTCATAAAGCTACTTCGCCATTGAATGCAATTAGTTGTGAACTCGATTTATTATCGTCAAAAGCATTTAGAGTCATGAAAGCATCCTAGTCTCTGAGCTATTTAAGATGTAATTGCAAGGAATATGATTGAGGCATATAATTCTATTTTTATCACCGAAGCTCTATGATGATAGACAATAACTGGCACAAATTCAAATCAGAGCAAAAAGTTCAAAAAGATTGAATACGCATCGATCTGAAATAAAGATTTTTTTCTTAAAATTTACTTAGTATAATTCTATTTTTATTTTATTTGAGACTGTTTTATAAATAAAAGTTGTAGATCTTTGTTTTAATTGAGTTACTATCATAAATTTAAAAGTTTCCCGAAGAAATGACTTTTGGATATTTTTAAAGATAAGTTTCAGTTTCTTTTTAATTAGATTTAGAACGATATGAATGGAAGTAAATATATTTATTAATTCAGAAAGAGATAACAATTGCACAAAAATATTTTAGAATATAGTTATAAAGGATTAAAGGACATTTGAACGCTATTTACTTTGTTAAAAATTAGAAAGTCTATTCGCAATAATATATTCAGAGAAAGGTGAAAAACATTAGTACAAATATCAGAAAAGAGCATTATTTGTTTAGAATAATATAAATGGAACAGAATTAAGTCAAAATATTTTAATATGTCCCCTAAAGGCAGCTTAGTCTAAATATTAAATGCATTGAATAGTATCTGCTAGTCAGGAATTTTAGAAATCCGTACTCCTTATAAGGTTTCATCCTATTCCTGATTCTGGAATTTATTTCAATATTTTCAAAACCATTTTGTGTGATAACTCATTATAATACAAAGGAAATTTTTCTTATATTAGAATGGGTTTCCAACCTATTTAAATCAAGGTTATTAAAACCAATTATTGATGAAGTAGTATAAAATTTTTTTTTTATGTATTTGCCGAAACAACTCTATCATTATGAATATTTCTTAATGAGATCACATAATCTGTTATATATTATTTTCAAACCCTTATATTAAGATAAAAGCTGACTAAAAATTAAAAGTAAAAGCAAAGTAAAAAGTAAAGAGAGCTGCAGTAGAGAATCAACACAAATTTTTAATAATAATTTCGACATTTTTTTGAACACATTTTTGAAAAAAAAAGAGATAACCAAAGTTTTCTTCATTAAGATTTTTAAGAGAGTATCACCTTAATACGGGAATAACAAAATTTTAAGGTATAACTTATGAAACCAAAAGAAGATAAGTTATTATTCTGATGGTAAACAAAATTCTCTTATAAAATATGGAAAAAAATTAAAGATTATGTGTGTAAAAAATAGTCCGTTTGAAAATACATTAAAATTTAGTATTTAATGAGTTTTGACAAGCTATGAAATGAAGTATCTAGCTATGGTATATGAATATATTTAAACAAAAAGTTGTTAAATATTACATAAAATAAGTTTGACCAGTCTGTATACTATTTAGAGAGCAAAAAAAATTTGAATTATTAAAATTTTTCATTTTTGAATATTTTATGTAATTGTCTATTAATTTTAAGTTGATATATAAACTTTGTAAAGCTTGCACTATTAATTTTATTTAAAAAGATAAGCATGAATTCTAAACATGAAATTTGAAAATAAGCACGAATTTCTGATCTCTTATGTACCCCTAAGGAATTTTTGTGGAATTTTGTCTATAAAATAAAATTGGATTAATATTTAAATAGTTGGGTTTTGCTTAATCCGAACAGGAAAGATCCCAAGACATAGATTTTTAAGCAAAAGAACTACAGAAAAATGTTAAATAATCCCATTAGTTTACTTGCCAAAGATGCAATTCTTTAATAATCTTACCTAGCTAAAATATCTTCTTAATGTATTGCGTGCTGTTTGTTTATTTTACTTTTTTGCTAGTCTTTTTGAATGAGACTTAGTAAAAAACAATATATTTGCGCACATAAATAAGAGTAATATGTTTTTAAATAAGTACAAATAATATCAATTCAGTTTTCTTAAGTTTGTTCTAATTAGAAGAACAATATTTAGGAGCTTTAGCGATATTATTTTTTATTTCAGGAAAAAAAAATTATTTCTTATAAAGAGAATTTGAAGAGGTCAACTCTATACTCCTTTTTTAAACAATTCCAAAATCATTAGTAAGAGATTTATGTCGATATTTTAATTTCTATTGTAGGAGACAGAAAAAGAAACTTTACTAGTGGGTTCAAAGGAAAATTTTTGCCTAATTTTCAGAGTAAATGGAAGAAGGAAATTAAAAAAAGAATTCAATATATACATAGCTAGAAAATGAAAAACAAAAATTAATTATAGAAGAAAGTTTTTTTTTTAAGCGAGTTACTAAGTTGGTAATTGTTAGTCTTAAAACACTTTTTTTATTGATCTCCCCTAAAGGTTAATAAGATAATTTTCATATAATATTCTATGCTATACTTGTGGACTGTGATTGGGCCTTGGATTGTAGTTGAGGAATTATTTCAGGTCGTTAATCGAGTTTAGTATAATCGCTGCACCAAAACTTTTTATAATCATATCGAATTCTAATTATCCCTTGTTATTAAGCCAATTTTAATCCTTTTAACTATTTTTTCTGTACTCTACGGATATCCGAGGTGATTTAAGATTAATGAGATAAATTCAGAATATTTCATTAGATCTATTATGAGATGAGAGGCAATAGATAAATCGTATATTTAAATAAGAGAAAGAGACTCGAATTACAGCAAAGTATACGCCTATAATTAAATTTGTAAAAGAACACATTAAAATAACTATTTCTATTAGATAAATTGAGTATATTTTTAACTGTCTCGTAAATGTGGAGTTTATACGTTATTTGTATTGTTACTCTCAATACTGCTAGGACTATTCATTTCGTAAGAAAAAAAAATTATTTTGAATGAAAATTTTTCCAAAAATATTTAGAGAAATGATGAAAGAGAAAAAAATCAATGCTACTAAATATGTATAACTGAAAAATTATTTGTTTAAGAAAAAAATTATGAGGGAAATTATCAATTCGAATAGTGGTATAATTATGACCCCGAAAGGCAGCTCAAAACATTTTGGGTAATTAAGACATAGATCCCGAGTGTTTCAAATTTCCTAAGAAAAAGTAAGAGAACTAATAAATAAGTTAAAACCAGGAAAAAAAATACTTCACCTAATAAACTTTTAAGACGTAGATATACTATTGAAATTTTTTTGAAAATAATAATTATTTCAAAATATTTAAAAAAAATTAAAATTGGGCAGGTATATAAGCCTTTTTGCTGTTTAATAGTTTAAGCTGATACCTAAAAATAATATAAAATTTAAGTAATAAATAACTAATTCAGAACCTTTTGCTAAGAAAATATTAATTCATGGGACTTATTGGTTAATTCACAAAATCACCTAAATGTCCTATTTAGTCGCTTAAAAAATTTTTTTTAAGTAACACGTGAAAAGAGAAGGGAGAATATGAATTTTAATTGAGATTTATCAAATTTATTCCTATTTGCAAATTTTATTTGACAAATGAAATAAACTAAAGAACAATGAATTAATATTATGAAGTGAGGAAAGTAAAAAAATTTAGATTTTTGTGGAATTCTAAATAGAATCTGGACAATAGTTTACATTTACTTATTAAAATATGTTTGCTTATTCATGTGATTGTAATTAGAATTTAATAAAACATTCTAAAAAACTCAGCCGGACATACGCAGTTATAATAAAGCATTTAAAATCTTAATAAATTAAGCGCGTTAATAAAGTCCGTTTTGAAATTGAAACAGTTCTTTCGTAAACAAAATCAAAAGAAATTATGAAAAAAATTAATAATGATAAAGCTAACCAAAGTAAAAGTT